TTTTGGCCTCAAGTTTATTTCCCTAAATAAAATGGAAATAACCTGCATCTGATAACTGATTTAATTGTGAAACTTTCATTGTCAGAACTCCTGTGTTGTGAGCTGGTGAAAATGTAGGGCAGTTGGGGCCAGAGGAAGGTGCTAGAGAAGAGATGAGGGTGCAGAAGAGGGTTTCAAGCTTTAAAATGAGGTCAAGCCTGGGCTACTGGTGGCAGTAGGGTCCAAATTCCCATCTTTGTTAGACTAAGAGCGGGCTGCATGGCCTTCTGTTTGTTGTTTGAAGACTGCCAACTACCGGACTCCTTACCATTAGACTTTCCTCAGATCTTTTCCAGCCAGCCAGTTCTACCTGCCTCACTTACAATGGTTGGGAAAAAACTCACTGGGACCCAGAAGCCCAGCTTCCCAAACCAGTGTGTTATGACTGAACAGCAGTTTAATTACACACCTCGATCAGCCAGTGTTCCCAAGAGCTTCCTATACTGAAAACTTTATCAGGGTTTTATTAAGGGAAGGGCTTGCTACAACTCTGCAGACAGGCATACCATGAGAGCAGCTGATTGTATAATTGGCTAGAGGTGGCCAACCAGTAAGACAGCCAGCTGCAAACTGGTTATCTAGGAGACGGGCTGTGGTCCACGGGGGAGACACAAAGGTCCAAACTAAGTGCTGCCAGTTCCCACAACAGGCCAGAAATGTCTGGCATCTGAACCTGAAGGGGTTCAGGTTTACTAAAGGATGATGCTCTGAACTGAAAAGGTCCAGGGTTGACCCAGATGATGCCCTTTAATATTCCCAGGGATGACCTGACCCATGGCATGCTCCTTAAGGTTCCCACAGAATAAATGTTACTCCCTGTTATGATAAAAGCCTCATGCATCCCACCTGACTTCCCTCTCGAATGCCTTCTCAGACACTGGGATACATCTGACTCCCAACCAGGCTACATTCTTACCCACCTGCACAGTCAGAGCCCCAGGAAGTAAAGACACCCTCTTGAGCCTATCCTGTAGTAGGCCCAGGTGGGTCTTTTGCAAATAAGACCCCAGATTCAGGGGACTTCCTTTCTAAGCCTGCCACCATTCCTCCCTTTCATGCAGGGGCAGGTTTAGAAGGTACCATCCAAATTCAGGACTCCTTTTCAGACATAGACGTTCAGGAATGGGAAGAGACACTGGGTGAGTGTTCAGAGGATGTTGAAATATAGGCTGATGGACTCCATACCCTGGCAAGATCCTTTGAGCAGACCTGGCAACATGTCCACTTCAGTCTGGCTTCTTGCTACAGTGCCATAGAAAGACAAAAGATTTTAAGAGCTGCAAGACAAGCCAATGAGGAAATCTTAGTGTCTACCCCCAGTGGTAAGCAGCCCGTCTTTGCAGGCATGCACAAGGGCCTGCTGAAGCCAGTGTGTTATGCTGAGCTGTGGTCTACCAGTCAAGGCTCTGATGAAAATGCAGCTGCTTCAGCGCACTGGCTTAAGAGGCAGTCTGTAAGTACACTAATTAAATCCAGACCAGAGAGGGCTCCATCATGGTGAGACAGCATTTTATCAGCTAGTCATGCCCAGATATTAAGGGGGAAGCTTCCAAAAGGGCAATAAGGCCCTCAGACTGGGATGAGTCGATTGATGGATGTGATTATATGGTGCTGATCAGCCATGATGCATTAGAAGGCAAATGGGAATTGAGTAAAGAAAAATGCAGGTTGCTGACTTTAATGGATATGTTCATGATGGAGCCCACGTCAGCAAGAGGAATGGAGGTAACCTGAACGATGATGGAGGCAAGTCCGGGTGCTTCAAGTTCACGTGGTCAGGGCACCGGGAAAGTGCCCACAAAGCCTGCTGAGTCCTTTCTTGGGCCTGTCCCAGCACAGAGAGGGACATTTGGGGCGGGAGGAGTGACTGCTTCATGCCCATGACTGGATGAGGTCATCCTCCGCTATGACTGTCAGAGAAGAATGCAAGGACAGAGCATAAAGTTGCTCATGGCGGCTGGCAGGAGCCTCTGGTAATTCTGGATGTGGTGAACAACATTTTCTGCTGTTGGGGATCTTATGTAATTCTGTCCTCTTACTGCGGAGAGTTATCACCCACTCCTCACTGGCTTCGGCCTCGAAGGAGTTACCTGGTTAGTTTTCTCTACTCTGACTCTGGACTGCTGGGTGGGAGGTTGCCCTTTCTAGCTGCCTTGCTGGTAAGAGCAAAGTGCACCAGCCATAGCTGGAAGAGATGCTCTCCTTCTACTCAGGGCCCACTCTGTCATTCCAACTTCATGCAACATGGGTCATCACTGCCAGAGACCCTGCCAGCCTGGCTCCATCAGCTTTGATTGCTCTTCCTGGAGTTGATATCCAAGCATGGATGGTGACACCCTGAGGAGGGCTGTCCGTGTCACTCCGGTGAGCATTCAATTCAAAGACCCTGTTGTACACCATCACAGAAGACAGTATTACCTCAACAGAGAGGCTAGGCAGTGGCTAAGGCCCATTTCTCATATATTTCTGGGTATACATTTGCTGTTTTCATCGCGGTTCCCATGCAATACACCCATTTTTACTGATAGTCCAGCCATGGATAGAATTCTGCCTGTTACAAGATTTCAGATTCGTCAGAAATGCGGTGGTACCCATGCAGCCCCTAGTAGCAGATATGTACACTCTTCTTGTACAGACCCTGAGAGACACTTAATGGCTCTCTGTCCTTGATCTCATGAACAACTTCTTTCCTAATTCCATGGACCTTGGTTGGCAATTCCCATTAGAGTCACCCATCCAGGGTAAAAAGTAACCCATCTGAGGCACCAGAAAATGAAAGAGATAGCCCAGCCACCTTGTATACCGTGTGCCTGTGAACCCTCTTACAGTCCCTAGTTTCTTTTCAGAAGAGAAAACACCAACCAAACTGCTGGGCCAGAGAAGTCAACTGTCTTGTTCCCTCTAAGTAAAAGTCAACACCAGCCTGGAAATAGGGCCTCTCTTTGGGTGTACTGTGTGGCTAGTTTCCTACTCTCCTGCTTACCATAGTTCATCAACATGCTTACTATTGAGAAAAAATATCTGTGTTGACACCCAGTTCCCCAGGGCTTCCTGTGTGGCACTAACTGCTACTCATGTTTCTTGCAAACTGTACAGTAACATGTACTCTGTTTATCTGGCCGTAGGGATCAGTCTCCATTACTAAGGTTTCCCATAGCCTTACTTTTTAGACTATGCATACTTAATCCCTTAGGCAAAATTTTTTCTTGCTTTTTAACAGTGTCATGAATTGTGTCTGGATGTCCCCCCAAAGCCTCATGTAGTCATGGGGTGGGCTTCTAGAGTTTACGATTGATTCATGGTCCAGTGCTGGGATTATGTTTGTCAGTGCTACCCCTGGGTTGGGTAGTTTGCATACAATGCAAAGGAGGAAAAGAAACTTGCTTGTCCTCCCCCTTTTTGGCTCTTCCTACTTTTGTTATTTTCCACCACCATGAAATGTTGGCTTCTGCCATGTGCCACCCTACCTTGGAACCAAGCGAATATGGATAGAAACCTCCACAAACTGTGAGCTGAATAAACCTTTCCCTATTTAATTTTGGGGGTCAGGTATTTTGTCTCAGCAATGAGAGAAAAGTAAACAGGCAGTAAATCATCTGTCATGAGCCAAGCGAAGGGCAAGAACCCAGCTCCAGATCTATGGCATAAACGCATCCTCAGAGGAGATTATGGTTGCCTTAGTTCCCACAGATTAGGAAGGGAGAGAATCTCTTCCTCTCCACATAGAAAGGGCCAGTGTGCCTATGCTGCCGAAGAAGCTACAGATGGATTTCCTCCTTGTACGCTTTTGTAGATTTTTGGAGGCCAAGACTCTTGGGGGGAAAATATAAATAGTAGAATTAGGGGTGATGAGGCCACACCCCTCTGCTCATCTGAGCCTCAGCAACACCCTGGAGGCAATGCACCAATTCAGCATCTGTCAATCACACTCGGAAAGACCTAATGGGAAGCGCCCCAGGCCTGGCCCACCTTTCAAATCCTCAAGCCCATTCAGTGCCCACCACCCTTTTTTCTTTCCAGCCTAGCAATTCTTGTGTGCTGTTTTCCTTTCCAACCTGAGCCTGCACACCCTTCATGAACCTGCCCCTCTAAATTTTATGAAGCTTGGCTGCTTTTCCTTGCCCTTGAGTGAAACATCCAGTTGTTTGTTGAAAACAAGAACTTGCAGTACTGTCCCAAGACTCCATCATTCATCACCCATGGCAACACTTAGACAAACATTTATTGTCAGAGGTCTGCAAGAAATTAAAGAAAGCTTGAAAGCCACATGCACTTAGATATAGGCCTGTGAGAATCAATGTATCAATTATTTTGGAAAGAATGTAAGGATTTATTTCCTTACATCCAAATCAAAATATTGATTTTCAGGCATAATTCTTCATCCATTTTAAAACACACAGCTCACCATGAGGTCCCTATCTTTTCAGGTACATATTGCTCTATTGAAGAAGAACAAACACCTGCATGTTTTAGAGTAGTGCTTTATTGTCTCTCAAAATTCTATTGTGTAATTGTAAAGTTCTTCATGATGTCAAGCTCAGACTGAATTTTGTGACTCTGTCAGGTGACCCATTGCATTTTCACTTGAGTACTCTCTCTGTGAGTCTGCTTGGGTTATGACAAACCAGGCAAGTGGGTTCTAATATTGAACACTCTAACAGTAAAACAGGAGTTTGGGAAATTTTCTAGTATCTGAAAACTACAAATTCTCCTTCTTATAAAAATTTGATGTTATCTGTGGATTTATCTGTGCAGTGAATTTGAAGTACCAGACAGTAGATGGTGACTTATTTCAATGGAACTCAAATTACTCAAAACCATACAAAGTAAAATACAGTCTATGTTTTCCATCAGAGTGTTTTTCAATTATTAGTGAAGAAACTATGCTCAAGAGGATTAATGCCAATCACTCTTTCTTTCAATGTTCCTTGTCCTTCTTGTTCCTCTTAAAACTCAAAAGGTCAATGTATGAATATACGATTTGTGTGGAATACTTGAGAATGAAGGAGTGGGATCTGACACACTGAGTGGGACCATGGAGAGTGGAGAATGTGATGCTATCATTTAGCAGCATTGTGGCTCTAGATAAGGCAACTCTCAAACCCTCTGATTTTTGATCAGTGATCCTGACATAATTTGCCCACCATATACCAATTTCCTACATTTTCATGGAGAGCATTTTTCACCTCCTGATTCCTTAAGCTGTAGATCAGTGGGTTTAACATGGGAATCACTACTACATAAAACACCGAGGCAAATTTATCTGTGTTTAGAGAATGGCTGGACTTAGGTTGCAGGTACATGAAAATAATTGTCCCATAAAAGATTGAGATGGAGGTCAGGTGAGAGGCACAGGTAGAAAACGCTTTCTGTCTTCCCTCGGCAGAATGAATCCTCAGGATGGCAGCGAGGATGAAGGCGTAAGAAATGACCACAACAACTAGTGAGCAAAGCGTATTCAAGCCTGCGATGATGAACAACATGAGCTCTTTGACGTGAGTGTCGGAGCAGGCCAGAGCAATTAGGGGAACATCATCACAGTAGAAGTGGTTGACCACGTTGGAGCCACAAAAAGACAAGCGGAATGTGACCACAGTCTGACCAAGGCCCACAGCGAACCCGTAAATGTACATGCCAGCGATCATTTGAACACACAGTTTCCTAGGCATGAGAATGACATAAAGCAGAGGGTTGCAGATGGCGACATAGCGGTCGTAGGCCATGATGGAGAGCACATAAACTTCACACACCACAAATGTGATGAAGCAGCACACCTGAACGGCACACGCAAAAAATTTTATGCTTTTAACCTCATGCCAAAAATTCACTAGCATATTGGGGGTGACGTTGGAGGTAAAACAGAAGTCAACAAAAGCCAGATGACTAAGGAAAAAGTACATGGGTGTGTGCAGCTGTGGACTGATTTGGATTAGCGCGATCAAACCGAGATTGGTCATGACACTGACTAAATAGATAACCAGGAACACACAGAAGAGAACGACTTGAATCTCTGCACTGTCTGTGAGCCCCAGGAGGATGAATTCAAATACTGCTGAGTGATTGCCTGTAGCCATAGAAACGGTTTAAAAAGCTTTTATAGTGAAATCCTTCACCACTCACATTCTGGGAAAGTATCTCTGTTTGCAGAGATTGTGACGGGGTCAGTACATGACTTTGAGTCTGTATTTTGTGTTCCACTATTCAAAGCAATTACTTCATATTTTTCCTGCTTTCTGAATCAGGAGACTTGTTTTAGTTAGAGATCCAAAGTATGGGATCCTGTAAGGATTTGCAAAGATAGAAAATATTCATTTAGATTTTTGCCTTATTGTTTGTATGATCTAGAGTATGAAATCCATTGGGAAAATTTTACTTACAAGAAATAATAAATTCAAATATTGACTCGAGAAGGATTAGTATGAAAGATCACCAATGAAATTTTGGATATTGGTGATCTTCCTACAATACAGTCAGGATAATTTTTAATTGCTACCTTGTTCTTTTGATCATCTTTGGTCCTTTGATTTTGTTCCATTGGCATAGTACTTGGATGGACACAGAAAATAAAATAAAAAATGAATCATTAAAAAGAGAATGCTTTTGATGATCTTTCCCCAAAAAGAAGACCATAATATCCTTTTCACTATATTACCTCATATAATCTCTATATCAATTCTATGAATTCACACTATGGTGGTTATCTTGACACTCAGTTTGGGAAACTAAGCCTAGGGGTCTTTTGCATTTCATAATTACCAAAAGGTAAAGTAAGTAAGTCATACACATTGATTGTCTCATCTCAACTCACTGTTTTTGCAAATGAGGATTTTTTCATTCAGGCAGAAGTTTTTCTACCAAATGGAGATGAAGACAAATTAGAAAAATAATCTAAGAGCCAATCCACAGCAAGAGATTAGAATGCTGATTGATACTGTGTACCCAGTGAGTTAGTTGGAGCTGTTGGCCATATTACTATTGCTCAGATTGAAGCTTACTTTGTTGAAGCCTCTCTACAAGAAATCCCCCATAAGGATAAATACAGAAACTTTATTTTTTTGTGCAAAATTTGAAATGGTCTCCACTGGTCCTCCTAACATCTTAGCTCTACTCCTCGTTGCACCTCAGTCTTGTCCTTTTAGCGCTTATGTTGATTTTGTGTGAAACCTGTGTGTCTCTTATTGTGATATCGCCAACATCTCCAGCATTTTCAATCCTGTGATTCCTCTCTTCTTAAAATGACACTTGACAGCTCTTACAAAACCTACATAAAGGGGACTGGGGATTTAGCTCACCAACAAAGCACTTGCCTGGCAAGTGCAAGGTCATGAGTTTGATTCCTGGCACTGGAAAAAAGGATGAAAAAAAAAATTAAGAAAATAAAAAGCCTACATCAATTCAGATCATCTCTCACTTGGCTTGAAAATTTTCTTAGGTTTCAAATGTGCCAAGTTTAATAAGACTTGTTGATGCTTATAGCACTGTTATACATCTGGCACTACATTTTATATTTGTGTAATCTGTCCCAATGCCTTAAGCTTTATACCGTGCTATACTTTGTCACAATGTTACCAGGTCATAGACACCTCCACAAGGTTGTTATCGGTACCAACACACATACATCATCTACAGATTCTCAGGCTCTTGAAAACTTGTCCTCAGCACTCTCGTCCCCATTACATATGAATTTACTTCTCATATAGCTCCCTCTTTAAAACTCTTTTATCCAGAAGAACATAAGCACTAAGTATGTAAAGGACAACCCATTTCTTCTGACCATAACTGGCCTTTTCCTTTTCCTTTTGGTTATGCCACTTTTCCTTCACTTATTTATATCCAAACCATAAATGCCACTAATTAATTATCTATTTTGTCACATCCTGTGTTCAAGTTCTCTTATGTAAAACTTATTACTACAGTTACTTTTTCTGACATATATGATTTCAGGGCCCCTAATTCCTTTCAGACAATCCAATTCTGGGTACTGTGAAATATTATTTCTACTTGTATTTGAACTACTGAGTATAACATATAAGAGTTGAGCTAACACAAACTTATCACACTCAATAACTTGCGTTAACTTAATAATTTGCATTATTTGACTTGCACTTGGATGAACTAAGCCTCTTGTGTGTATGGCAATTGGGAAACCTATTATTTCATCCTCAGTCCCCTACACCACCCTACAGCTTACTGTGGATAGATGTTGACATCCCTGACACTGGAGAGCGAATGCACTTCTCAACTTCTGTCCCCAGTTGCAGACCATATCAGTCCATTCCCTTGGAGGGCTGTGGACATAAAGGACATCCTATTATTAATACCCCCAAAATATGTTCTCACCGAGTTTGCTTCCTAAATTTCTCCAGATGCTATTTAATTCACTGTTTCCCAGCAGCCAAAAATAAGGTATCTACAAAGACTCATGCACGATGTCAAACTTATATTCCTGAGCTTTCTCCCAATACATCTAGTCCTTATTCCCTTAGCACCGGACGCACTGTTACAGTCACTGATACCATTTATCCCTCACATATATCTTTTAATGGATTGGATTCTGATATGTGTTGTCATGCTGGCAATGTGAGCTCCCTCTCCAAGTTCTCCAACGTTCCCTTCCCTTTAACATCCAATGCTGATTTCTTTCTTAACCTTTGTGATGCGTTCATCCACTGATATCACTTGTCAAGATAAATGCCATGGCTTTCTGCTTTTTAAGTCAGCAACATCTCCCATGTTTCTGCTCAACTTTGTAAATACCTTCTTTTCCTTGTATGCACGCTTGAGATGACACTGGTACTCACGCATCCGGTCAACGTGAGTCATTCGCGCCCACACTTGTGGGTAGTTTGCATCCAGTGTCACTGGGACAGCTGCTCTCCTGTGCTGGTGATGCAGAACCCTGTATCTCTAGAGCGCTATCCCCCTCTGCGGCCCAGCCATGCACATCTCATTTGCTTCTTTAGTAACTTCACTTAGGCCTCCCAGAGCCAACTCCATGTCACACATTGAAGGAGAATTCGCCAGTTCATAAACCACCCTAATCGGCTCAGTGCAAAGAAGTTCTTCCGCAGAGAACTTTGCCATCTCCCTTCAGTCACGTGGTTGAAAGAAAGGAAAGAAAACCTACTTTACTGGTTTCATCTAGATTCCACCAAAAATCCATTATCACACATTGTCATTAACTGACTTGTTAAATATGCCTCCCTCTAAGAGCACCTACCTGTAATTTATTCAGGTCTGACATCACAACACCGGTTTTGCGCTTCCTAATCCCCCCAGGGGCCATCTGTTGTGCTACAACTTCTGTGCCTGTTGCACATTGAGAGTTTCCCAACACGCAAATCACAGCTGGTTGTTTTGATTAAAGTTTGCATTGAGTCCTAACGTCTTAGCATGGTGAATCTTTTCATACTTAAGTTCTTTTGTAGGCTAATCTCATCCCTTCAAGAAACTTAATAGAAGACAGAAGTCTTCCTAGCAGAATTTACCAATTAGTAGGGACTCCAAATATACTATTGAAATAATTGCAAATATCAGCATGGATTGTGTTCTTCCAACCCTTCTTTCACTGCATCAACTACCTTGCCTTCCCAGATTGCTTTTGAAAAGTCTGCAACAAAACCAAATATCCTAACGTAATCTGAGATAAATAAAGGAGATCAACAATCAGAATGGTTTGTTACTTAAGCATTGAGAGACTGTTTTATATGAGTTTATGGTCCTTGTAGAATTCATTCCTTGAATGACATCATTTTAAACAATTGGTGAGCCAATATAAAATAAACTCTCACAAATATATGCAATTATGGTGTGTTTAATCTTTTGGGAGCTAATTTGCCTAATAGGCAAAAGTAAGCACCTAAATCAGATTCATACAGTCCACCTAACTGTATTAAAGAATAACAATAAACCTAGGTATAATAAAGAATTAATTAATGATAATGATAAGCTTAAATATAATGAAGAATTAACAAATGACAGCAAAATTTTTTACCACATGTGAAATAAAAACACACTATGTTTGCCTGTCTTTACTGATATTTTATATGCTACTATTTATTTTGTTGAAGCTGTAAATGTTTGTGTGAGAGCATGGTACTCACTGCGCTAAACTATATTAACTTGCTATGAGGTTTTGCAGGGCTGCCAAGAACTACTTTTCTTTGAAGTAAACTTGCAATTTACATTTGGAATGCAACGATTTTCTAGACATAAAATAACAATTACCTGATGAATTTCTTATTGACTTCCATGTGCATTTCGTTCAATCTCAGAACAGTCTTGCCTGAAAGTGCTGTTGAAGGAGAAAAATGATTTAGAGGCATATGAATGTTCCTCTGAACTTTAGTGAATAGCAGGAAGGAGGATCTTGGCACAGAAGAAGGGATGACAGATATGTAAGAAGAGATAGGAAAGGAGGCAGGAGAGTGTGAAGTGTTCTGTACATGCTCCATGTCCTGCAAGGAATGAGATCATCATGTATGACAACAATATATAAATTACTTTATATCAGTGTACATATACATAGACATACCTATTCATGGTTATAAATGATATGTGGGTTCAATAGATGCAGAGAGAGTGAGGCAAGGAAGGAGCCCGAGGAAAGAATGAAGAAATATTAGGTGCATGTACCAACTGCCCATGGTGAAGGTACTCACTATGTACCACAATCATTTACCAAATTTGAAAAAGAACAGCATGTTTTAGATGTGAAAGTGTTAATAAGTTCTTGAAACCCTGTAACGTGCTGCATCTGCATTCAAAACACTCATGTAGGTGCAGGATAAGTAAAATATACAAAGGCATACACACAAAAATAAAAAAGTAGAAATGTTTATTAAGTAAATGAAATTCAGCCTTATGAAATATGAATATTTTATTCTATAATCACTGATCTTCTGATTTTTCAAAAAACAATCTGCCAACCAGAACTGAAAATAACTACAGAAATCATTTAAAATAAATTGCAGAGAACTCAAAAGATGTCTTTCACTTTTGTTTATAATGAATTGTAATACTAATAGACCATGCAGTTGAGGCTGTGGCACGAATCCTCGCATCCATCAGAAAC